CTTCCTGAGCATAGAACCACCTGTATATTATCTGTTCAAAATTTTAAACTAAAAACAAGGTAAATATTTTGGAATCAGCATAAAATTATGGAAATAGATGGGACCTGGGGATCACTTCTAAATTGTATAGCTTAGAGCATGAAGCCATTAAAGGACAAATAATTTTTCCAAATTGTTTACAAATACTAAGTGATAGTGTTATAAACAGAGCCTTTGTCACTTGGCATCAATGCCTGAGAGAATATAGCTTTAAAACCAGTAGAACTTAGCCCAAACAACAAGACTGGACCCCAGGAAAAGGCATTTGACACTCAGTTTCTCATCTATAAAACACAAACAATGAAGTTGTGAAGATCAAATTAATGTACCTGTATCCACGAACCTGTGTCCTAGTCGAGTGTTCAATCAGTGCTAGTTACTGTCCTTCATTAGGTGAGGCTATCACAGAGCTGGAGTTGGTTGGGACAGTGAGTGCTGTAAGGGAGGTTGTCATACGAGTCTCTGGAGATGGAAGCTTGCAGGGTAAAGAAAAATCAAAGGAGCTGGATGCCAGTGGCTCACTCCTGTAATGCTAGCTACTCAGGAGACAGATACCAGGAAGATCGTGGTTTGAAGCCAGCCACGGACAAATAGTTCTTGAGACTCTATCTCAAAAATCCCCATCACAAAAAAGTGCTGGTAGAGTCGCTCAAGTGGTAAGAGTGCCTGCTTAACAAGCATGAGGCCCTGGGTTCAAATCCAGTGCTGCCAAAAAGATAAATAAATAAATAATAAAATAAAAGGAGGAGAGAGACGGTTGAATGAACCTTCAGTTTTCATTTACTTAAGCAGCCCCTAGAGAAATCAGAGAGCAAATGATGCTTCGTATAGAAAATATATTTGAGGGTGTGTGTTGTAGAGAGAACTTTCAGCTCCTTTAACTCCACAATGTCACCCAGGGCCCCTGTGACCTTCATTGTTTCATGCTGCAAATAAACGCACACAGCCAAGGACTGTCAGGAACACTCCTTCCCTTTTTCATTGCTGATTGTTGGAATGACCTCATTATTCTTGCCGGCTTGTTTCCTTCCCTATTTCCTCTTCTCCGAGGGTCATGTGTCAAGTGGAGACTCAGAGCGCTAGGTGCTGTCCTGGGAATTTGGTCTGCCTCCCTTAGAGAGGCGCTGCAAAGACCTGGTCTTTCTGGGCAGCGTGGCTCGCCCTGCCTCTGGGGTGAGGAACCTTAGTAAGAAGTTCCTGGGACCCATTCCTTCACTTGCCCTTGTACCAGAAAGCCAGGTCCTGTACTAGACTGAGGGTTCAAGACCACGAGATCCTCTCTTTTGCTTACCACCTTATGAGCTAGAGTTGTGATCTGCTTGCATTACATTCTTCCCTGATGGGAGGGAAAATAGAAGGTGAGGTTAAAAGCCCTCTATGGTCCACATCTTCACCCGTCCATGTGAGCTCTGTGATCGTGGGCAAATTGTGTGACCTAGTTGCCCCGGTGCCTATCTGAAAGCATAGTGGGTACAAAATGAGACAATCCAGGTAAAAGGCAGAGCAGAGAGTATGGCTCTTAATAAGTTCTCAAGAAATGTCAGCCTCAAATAGTAACAGCACTCACAGCAGCAGCAGAAGTAGGCAAAAGGAAGAACAGTCGGGGCCGGGGTGTATCTGAGAGGTGGAGCTTAGCATGTGGACTCCTGGCTTCAATCCCCAGCACCAAAAGTTTAAAATTAAAAAAGAAACTTGAGGCCAGGTGCAGTGGCTCCTGTCTATACTCCCAGCTACTGGAAAGGTGGAGCTCAGAGGATGTGGTTGATGGGCAGCTTAGGCAAAAATTTAGCAAGAGCCAATCTCAACCAACAAACTGGGCATGTTGGTGGATGCCTGCCTGTGATCGATCCTAGCCAGAATGCCAGCCTACGTAGGAGGATCGTGGTCTGAGAATCTGAAAAATAACTAAAGCAAGAGAGGCTGCGGATATGGCTCTAGCATTAGAGCGCGTGCCTAGGATGCCCTAAGTTCAAACTCCAGTACTGCAAAAAAAAAGTTTTCCAAGTAAAGAAAAGGGGGGATCTGGATATTCAAGGAAGGTTCCTAAGCTCTGACCTCCAGAAACAAAGGTCACCCTCATCAATGAGAATGAGGCTTGATCTGCTCTCAATAATTCTATAATCGATGACTTTAACGAGGAGGTTGTCCTGGTGGGCAAATGCATTTTCCTATCTAGGGTGACATATAATATAGCCAAGGTGACTGCATTATTGACTTACCATTTCAAAGAGTTAGAAACACAGGACAAATTCAGTTAACGCAGATCGGTAAATGGCAGATGTTTTAATCATGCATTCAGCATATGCGCGAGAGGAACACCGGTACGTTGTGCTCTGCACTGCGAAGTTTATTCTGATAGTTTTAGGTGACATTTACCAAAGTGATTATCAGATGGATTCCCTGGTCCTGCAGGAGACTGACAAGTTCATTTATATAAGTGAAGTAATTAGATTGCAACTGTCTTAGCTCAGCTGCCATAACAAAATACCTCAGGCTGGGCAACTTAAGATACAGGCATTTATTCTTCACAGCTGTGGAAGCTGAGGAGCTAAGAATCAAGGTGTGGCCGATTGGAGTCTGGGCGGGCCTCTTTCTGGCCATCTTCCTGCTGTATCCTCACCCTGGGGAGGATGAGAGGTGTGCTCTGTTTTCTTCCTCTTCTTTGTTTTTTTTTTGGTGAGATTGGAGTTTGAACTCAGGACTTCACACTTGCAAAGCAGGCGCTCTACTACTTGAGCCACACCTCCAGTCCATTTTGCTCTGGTTATTTTGGAGATGGGCTCTCTCTCGAACTCTCTGCCTGGGCTGGCCTCAAGCCGTGATCCTCCTGATCTCAGCCTCCTGAGTAGCGAGGATTTATAGGCATGAACCACCAGCACCCAACTCTCTTCCTCTTCTTATAAGGCAATGACCTCCACCACAGGGGCCACGCCTCCTAATACCCACCCTCGCATTGGAATTGGGGTGGGGGAGGCACAAACATTCCGTCCACAACAGTGATCAAACATTTTTATTGTTTTAACCTGAATCAGGGAATTCATCGTCATGCAATCACAAAGAAAGATAAAATATTGAAGTGACTGCTCCATCCAGTTTGCCCAGTCTACAGAGGCGTGGTCTCCCCAGTACTAACGGAGTGGTTTAAAGCATCCAACTTCTCCATTCACCTTTCGCCTTAGAGAGGACGTCACATGCCCTGTCTCATCTCTTATTTCCTCTGTAGCCTACACACGAAGTGTTTTCCTCAGTGGGACCCGTGTGGATGGGAGACAGCATTGCTCCACGATAGGACAAAGACCCTTAGCCCACATTACTGTAACCACTGCCTAGCCAGGTGACGATAGGTTTTTCCAGTGATCATCCAGCCAGAGGTCTTTTCCCATCCTGTGATTTTGTTGTTGGGGGGGGGTGTGGTTCTGGCATTTGAACCTAGGCAGGCACTCCACCTCTTGAAGCACACCTCCAGTCCTCTTGCATTGGTTGGTTTTGAGATAGGGTCTCACTTTTTGCCTGAGCGGATGTGGACCACCATCCTCCTATTTGTGCTTCCCATGTAGCTGGGATGACAGGTGCTACCACCATACTCAGCCATTGGTTGAGATGGAGTCCCAAAACCTTTTTGCCCTGAGCTGGTACCAAACCAAAATTCTCCTGATCTCTGCCTCCTATAGCTGGGATTACAGGCATGAGCCACGTGACTGGTCTGTGGTGGGTTTTTATTTACTTATTTCTCTCTCTCTCTCTTTTATTACTGAATATTAATTGTACAAAGGGGTTTCATTATGATAGTTCCATACATGCACATAATGTGCTTTGATCAAATTCACCCCCTCTATTCTGTGCTAGGTTTTTCTTACCATCTGAGGTTCAGACAGAACTTTGAAATCAGGAAAGATTTACAGATGCATCTTATTAAATAACTGTAAATGCTGGCAGAATCCTCCAAGGGAACTTTCCCTTGAGAATTTCACTTGACAAATGAGCTATGCATAGTATTTTTATTTAGCACTCAGAAGGATTTGTCAGACAATCTTAGGGTAGAACAAGTGCCGTGCATAATGTGGAATGTGAGAGAGACTTGACACTGAAACCCAAGTCATCTCTCCCATGCCAGCGAATTCTTTTCCATTGTTAAGAATTGTCTGTTAAAAAATAGGCACAAAACTAGAGAGTGGCTCAAGTGTAGAGTGCATTCCTAGCAAACATGAGCCCTGAATTCAATACCCAGTACCACACATACACACTAAAAAAAACCAGGACCCAGAGGCTGGTTGCAGTGGCTCATGCCTGTAATCTCAGCCACTCCAGAGGCAGAGATCAGGAAGGTCACAGCCCAGGCCAAAATGCAAGGATCTTGCATTTTGGCTCAAGTAGTAAAATACTGGCCTGGCAAACAAACAAACAAAAAAAATTAGGACACACACAGTGCATCTCTGCACGTCTGTTTTTATTTATTTCTTATTTTGTGGCACTGGGGATTAAACCCAGGCCTTGAGCTTGCTAGGTAAGCGCTTTCCCACTGAGCTGAACCTTCAGGCCCATTGCATTTTGTGTCAATGTGGTATGGCACATGCATTGTGCTTTCAGTAAGTGTAAATTTAAATGTATTCAGAAACCCTATAGGTGATGACCTGGAATATTACACACCATGGCTTGGGAAATCACTCTTGACATAACAAAGGTCCTAACGGCCTTTGCTTAAGCGTGTCCAAAGTGTCTGGTCAAAGCCAAACTGCCTCCATTTTTGGGAGGTTTAGCTCTGGGCTCTGACTCTGTGTATAGTCTCAGCTTGAGCTCCATTTATGTTAAATCAATACGCCGTGTCACACTGAGCTGGAAGGCCAAGTACAGTGGATCAAGTTGCTCACCGATTGCATCTAGGATAAAATGAAAAGTCGTTGAAACTGTAACGCACTAGCTTTGGCTCCATGGCAATCTCAACATCGTGTGTGTTCCCATAGGTAATGGTGAGGATTTAGAGCACTCCGGATTCCAACCCACCGAAGAAGAAGAAGCCACAAGTGAAGAAACCACTTCAAGCATATTTGCTTCGGTGACCACGGAAGCTTTAGCTGCAGACACGAATTCCACGAGCGCTGCCGAGGCTGCAGGCCAGCTAGAGTTTATACTACTGGTGTTGATCCCATTGGCTTTGCTGGTCCTGCTACTTTTATCAGTGGTACTCCTTGCAACATACTTTAAACGAAAGAGAACTAAGCAAGGTAAGTCGTTGGTATGTTCCCATTTTCAGAAAATGGCTTTACACATTTGAATGAACAATCAGAAAAAGGACTTTTTTTCTTTTACTCAGAGCCTTCCAGCCAAGGATCTCAAAGTGCGTTACAGACATGTGAGTATCTTACTGGCCCCTGCTTAGAGTTGGGTGTGAGGCAGAAGGAACTGAGATGCTTTAAAATTAAGCAGGAAGGATTAAATAAATAAAGTAGTAAGAAATGAGTGATGTATTTCAATAACTTTTGAAGAAGTTAATAATGCCATAAGAAAGGAATGTTTTCAGTCTGCATTGAAACTTAGACTGTACTACTGCCATCTTTGTGTCTGAGCCAGTGAAGGTCCTCTATAATCTTGGCCATTAGGCCAGTGTGATGTTTCCCACCTTGGGAGGAAAGTGGCAGGCAGGTGAACCACTGGGCCACGTTACAGTTAGAGAGGGAGGGCTGGAGACTTTGGGGTTCCCACACCCACTTTTCTGTCATGGATATTGTTCTTCTACCCTGCATTCCAACTCGATCTTGAAAAGGACAAGAGAAGTGTCATCCATGTTCCCACTGAGAGTTGACTATGCCAACTTTTGTAAGGAAATTCCCAACTGGCTAAAAATTACTCACATCAATCTGAAACAACATAGAAAATTCCCAAGGGCAGAAACACACTCTGGAAGGATAGCACAGAAGCACTAGATACTGGGTACTTTAGGCTTATGCTGGTAAAAAAGAGAAAAAAAAAGATTTTGAAGTTGAAGCTTTTAAAAGTCATTCTGAAAATTACTCCAGAGACAAAGCTTCTCTAACACAATGTGTATACAAGACTTACTTTGTGTCCCTCATACCTACCTGTAACCTTGAGGCGGCCCTGTGGCCCTTGGCTCACTGTCCCCACATCAGGACAGTCTTTAAGGTCTGGACAGGAGCCACAGGCCCATATGCCTGCACCAGAGGCAAATGTGAGCTGGGGAGGAGCTGGCACAAGAGATACCAAGGAAGCAGGAAATCCACGTCTCCATAGCTCAAAATTTCAGGGTGACCTAGCAATGGTGGTCACATGGGAGCTACTTTGTAAGCCAAAGGTAAAGCAAGAGCCAAGAGGGCTGCTGGATCCCCTCCACACCCATTTCTCCCTTTTGAGGTGGGGTCTCGCCATTTTCCTGCCTCACCCTCTGAAGAGTTGGGATGGCACATGCCCTTTGGCTTTCCTTTCTTCCCCTCTTTTTTCTTTTTTTTAACTTTAGAGAAAGTAAGAATTTCCTGCCCCAAACTGTAGTGCCACAGTTGTCTTACTTGGAGTCAAGAAATGAGACGAAAGGGTGGGTGCCTGGTCACATGGCCTTGCTCTTAGACTTTAAATCCAGAGGTAGATTTAAACTTTATAGTGAAAAGTAAAACCGTTTGACGGCGTGGCTTTGAAGTTGAGAGCAGGGACTCTGAAATCACATTGGTTTGTTGGCTTTTGCACTCCCTAGTTCCGTGATCTCTGCCTCCATTACCTCATCTGTAAAGTGGGCACATTCAGTACCTGCTACATAGAATTGTGAGACTATAAGTGAACTTACATAGCTAGAAAATAACGTATCCAGCATGGTATATGCCTAAATAGGTGTTCATTTATCCCCTGCAGATTGGCACTTTGTTTTCAGTTTAAATATGCCTCACTTTAAGACAACAAGCATAGAAAATTTAGAATTTCAAAACAATGTCGAGACAATTATCAGGTTTTTTTTTAGTTAACAGAGCTTAATTTGATTTTTTTTTGTTTTACTAATCCCATCTTTAATGTATAAGATCCAAATGTCTCTTCTCAAACTAAACGCTGAAAGATTAACAACCACCTTTTACTAAAGCCTACCCACTCATATTTAATGTCCTAAGTCAAAAAAAAGCAGAATCTTTAAATTAACAAAATTTTATTTAAATTTTTTTTTTTTTCAGGAAAACTAAAACTATCATGATTAGGTTAGACAGGCCAGCAGTTTTCTGGAAAGTTCGTAAAGGAGTGCTTCATGGGGGAGTGGATACACAACAGCCCTCAGAAAGCAGGAATAGACATATTAGTTCTTTCCCACACGATAGAGTCTGGGACATTCTTCCAAACCCAAGAAATACGTCTTTAAACTTGAAAGCTGGACAGAACTTGATCTTGACCCACGCTTTTAGAAAGGGTGCCCATTTGATTGGAAATTATTATTATTTTTTTTTTTATTTCTGGGTATGCAACCCAGGACCTCCATCAGCCATGCAAGTGCACCCCAGTTCCTAATCACCTGTTTTTTTTCCATGTCCAGAAAAAGGGAGACTGTGTAGTAAGAAAAGCGCTCTCCTGTCCTTCTTACTGGACCTGCAGACATTAGATATGTAGTTGGGCTATTTAACGTTTTTTCAGTGTCTTGATGCACTGGGCATCTTTGGAGAACCTGCAGAGAAAGCAGTTGGCAGGAACCGTGGCTGAAACCAGGCGGTGTCTACACTGCGCCTGGCTCTGCTCACTACATCTTGGGGAAGGAAGATCTTAACACTGTTCAGCATGGAAGGAAGGAAGTCAGAGCCACCTTTCTCCCAGCCCCCAACTCCCAGTCCCACCATCCAGCCCAGAGGAGAGGAGCTGGGAGCCAGTATTGTCAGGTCAAGGTGTAAGGCAGTAACTGAGGGAGGAGGACCGGGGTGGGGTTGGGGGGGGTGGGAGGCTGTGAAGTGAAAGAATTTTAAGAGGCAAAATGGATCCAAATGGGGAGGGGACTGCATAAGAGTACATTTGCCTCCAGTTGCAAAAAGGGAGTAGGTGGCTATTAATAAAGCCACATCTACCAGGTGGAGTGGAGCAGGCAGGGCCTGATTGCTGAGGACAAGAAATTGGTCTCCCTCCTGGTTTAATGGTCTGCTGTATGCGCTCTCCCAGATGTTTTCCTGTTGCCATGGCGGCTGGGCCAGGGGTAATGGCCTTGCACAGGGAAGATGAGGCCACAGAAGGCTTTTTGCTCTCCTTTAATACTGATTACAGGAGCTCGCATTTGGTCCATCTAGAGCACTTTTAAACTTTTCCATCATCTGCATGCAGAGGAGCTCTCATCCACCTTCCAGCCTGCGGGGAACCCAGATTACAGAGAGAAATTCATGCCCGCCAGAGGGGGGTTGTGGAGTCACTGCTCTCAGAAGCTGGGGGTTGGGTGGGAGTCACTAACAGAGAAAAGGAGAGGAGAGGAAGAGGGAGTGACAAAACGGGAGTCTTTATGGGTCCCCTATAGGGAGATTACAATAATAGGGACTTTATTTATGGTAAAATCCTTTAAGGAAATAGCTTGTAAATTTTAGATTAAAACTATATGTATAAGAATATATAAGATGAAGACACCCTCTTTCCCCAGTCTAAGTTTTGAGAAGCTAGCAGAGAACACAACCTCCAGCCCTTCCAAGCCAAGCAGCAAGGGTGTGAAACTTGCCTCTGATCAAACCCTCCTGGATTAGCTGTGCCACGGTGCCATTCAAGCTTGCCAACCAGAAGGAGGAAGGCCACTTCAACAGCTCACTGTGACAGGTGCTCAGTTCCAGGGGCCTTCTGGTTATGTTTCCTCACTGGGGACCTGTGTTTCTGCAAACCAGACAAAAAGAGGCCTGTGATTGCTAGGGCCAGGAGCGCCCAATTATCTGTTGGGTCTCTTACGGGTGGTTTGCTTTTCAAAAATGTTCATGTCATAAAAGATACAGTGGGCCCATGGCGTCCACTCACTTGACATCATGGTGTCGTGTCCCTGGGTATGTTGGTGCTCCTGACAAACAAAGCAGAGCGTGGGTCAGTGGGGGAAATGAAATTCTGCATGTTCTTCTGGAGTCTGTCTTTAGTGGAGCCATTCTGTAAACTATTACATGACTCTCAGTCCAAATGGCAGCAACCCAAAGCAGACTTCTTGGAGGTTTCACTATTATGATAATACTAAGACCAAACGATTGACCATGAACCTAACCCCAGTGCTGGACAGTCGAGATTAAGACCCATTCATTTATCCAATAAGTATATATGGGCATTTGCCAGGTTTTGTGCTAGCAGGATGGGACTGGGGCCCGGCACAGCAAGCCACACAGACATGACCCCTGTCCTTTGAGAACTGTGGTCTACTGGAAACACAGATGAATAGAATCAAACAGATGGGGTAAGCTGGGCGCTGGTGGCTCACACCTGTAATCCTTGCTACTCAGGAGGCAGAGATCAGGAGGATCAGGGTTCAAAGCCAGTTCAGGCAAATAGTTTGTGAGACCCTATCTCTAAGAAACCCATCACAAAAAAAAAAAAAAAAAAAAAAAGGTTGGTGGAGTGATGCAAGGTATAGGCCCTGAGTTCAAATTCTAATATCAAAAAAAAAGAAAAAAAGGAACCAATATTCTGAAGGAATCAAACAAGGTGCCAAGCTGGGGGACAATAAAAATGACAGCTTCCCTTAAATCGAGGAGGAAGGCCCCCTTGAGAACAGGATATTGAGGTTGAGACTGTCACTCAAAGAGTGGGAGTAAATGGGTACTTCCAAGGGGGGATCTTGATGGAGTGACCCATATCCTGCTCCAGGACAAGGGGACCGTGGCCAATGCTCAGCATTGTGTGTCATAAGGAGAAGAAGCAGGGACATTCTGAGCTAGGGCAATTTGTTGAAAGGGCCAAAGAACAAGTCTTATTTAACCCTTCCTTTTTTCCCTTATCAGTCTTTCCTCTTCGTGCAAAGACAAAAATAGAGCATGTGAACATCTGATAGGACATGACCGCAATCAGAACCCTTGTATCTAAGAGAAACGGATGTCACAGGGACTAGGGCCTCATGTCAATGTAGTGGTCTGCACTCAACTGGGAGGCTAATTATTGTTCCTCTGAAAATGTCACCCACTTACAGTTATTTTGCTCTCTTTGAACAGATTTCAGGCTAATGTTATTGAAATAACAAGTTGCAGATGAACAAAGCTAACATGACCTTTCCATTTATTTCCTTTTAGATGAACTGGGAAGTGAAAACCTGAAAGTGTGAGTCCTCCCCACCACCTCCAATCCAGCCCCCTCACTCGGGTGTGGACAAGCATAGTTAGGGAAAGGGGAAAGACAACCATGGCTGGGTTCCCCTGCTCAGAAAACCCTTTTTCTGACTATTACCAATGCCCAGTGCAAGTAGTTAAATATTGTGACCCAGGATGCACATGTAGGACGTTGGTGTTCTGTTCTGATTAAAACTTTGATCATCAGGGAAGATACTTGAGCTGTTGCAGAAAGTTCTCACTGTGGAAACCAGGGAGAGGGGAGGGAAAGAGGAGGGGAAAATGAGAGAGGAGGGAGGGAGAGAAGGAGGGAGATGGGGACAGAGAGACAGAGACAGAGATAGAAGAGTCCACCCAGAGCTGTTCTGGGGTGCACCTCCACCCCTCCCAGCAGACTCTGAGGTTTAGGAACTGCCCGCTTCCTCTTCCCAGTGCACCTCCCAATGCCGCCTGCGTTTAGAGCTGGTGGTCCTTCCTCTTCAACTCCATCTAAACTAGCCAGGGACTTCTGTCCCCTAACTGGGTGCCCTGAGCTTTGGGAGCGGAGGGGCTTGAGGGCAGGGGATTTCAGAAAGCAACACCCATTCCTTCTAGTTAGAAAAGCTCAGGAATGGAAGGGAGATGTGATAAAGGTAACCTGTTGACAGTGGCCTTTTGATCTGGTTCACTCATCAAAAACCCCAAGGAAAGAGAAGTGCAATGAAGCAAGGCTGAAATGCTAAATGTGGCAACTGCCCCGAGCAGCCATGCAGACTTGACTTCGCACCCCCAGGGGCCAGTCTGGGTTCCCTCTTCACCCACTCCACCATCCTCTGGGCCTTCCAGTTTGAATTAGCGACAGGTGTGGGTGTGTGGCAGTGTTCACCTTCCTTCCCATTACAGACTGATGTTCTTTTGAGTAAGGCAAACCCCCAGGCTTGCCTGGAGTGTCAGACACTGAATCAAGTTCAATTTCCTCTGAGTCTACATTCTACACTCTCCTCAAATGAAATTCCACATATTGCACATTTTTTTTAAAACGAGCCTTTTGCTGTCTTTGACCAGCCCTATTTTTGAAGAGGACACACCCTCTGTTATGGAGATAGAGATGGAAGAGCTGGATAAATGGATGAGCAGTATGAACAGAAATGGTGTGTGCTAACCTAAAGGGTCTTGGTGTGGTGGCTGGGGTTTTCATTTGTTTGTTTCTGTTTTGGGTTTTGCTTTCCTGTCTATTAATAGAAGGCTGCAACAACTTTAGAAGTAAATACCTTAATAAATTCTGGAGTGGGCAGACCCCAATCTCCCATTCTAGCTAAAATATGCAGATAATAAACTTAGGCTTCACCAGTCCTTAAGTATCCACTGTAATTATTTATTACCTCAATTGTTACCACTTGTTTTTGTCTACAAGTTATTGAAATGATCTTTTTTACAGAAAATGGTCTCTTTTCCTCCCTCCCTCCCTCCCTTCTTCCTTCCTTCTTTTTTTCCTTCCCTCCTTCCTTCCATCAAACTCAGTGCCTCTCACATGCTTGGCAAGCACTCTAGCACTGAGCTGTATCTCCAGCCTTGATGTTTTATTTCAAGCAAGGAAATCTGAGACTAAATTTCTGGAAAAAGCATCTAGCATTACCAGATATATTATAGAATTTAGAGATATATTTTTGCAATCCATTTGTGACTCTATGACTTTATCAAATGTAGTTTACATAGATTTATACTACCCAATGCAGTAGATCTAGCCATGTGTGGCTATTTAAATTAATTAAACAAAAATAAAATTTAGTTTGAGTAACCACATTTTGAGTGCTCATAGCCAATGGCTACTGTACTAGACAGTAGCTAATGAAGATGGTAATGTAAGTGTTTTCATATACCAATTTCCAATCGGTTCTACATGTTTCCCTACTTCCCATTAAATCAATAATTGGTCTTTAGAATGATGACAGCTGTATTTTACTTAAAAATTGATAAATTATTTTAATGCTCAGATCAAATTGATAAAACCCACTATTTCTATGATATTTTGAACATTTTTCTTAAATACCCTGGGGTCTTTCAGACTCAACACTCTGCAATGAAGTTTTCTCAAATCCAATTTGTTACTAGAATTATTGCACTGGAAGCTTATCAAAATCAGCTTTACAAAAGATTAGAACCACTCAGCCAACTTGTTCCATCCCCAACAGTGTTTCAGTGAGCGAAAATGTGCTCAGTAAAGCATTTAAGGACCAGGCAGGCCACTGACTCATCCTTCAAGTGGCTGCATTGCTTTGTTTCTAGTTGTATGCAGACACAGAATTTAGGAACATGCAAAAAAAGAAGTAGAAAGAAGAAAATATTCCACTCCCCCAAAACAATCTCTCTCGATATTTGAGATTTGGTGTAATACAAAATCATGATCCTCTCACACTCCCTCAAACCAGAAAAATGGCCAAAGATATTTCTATTTGAAAACCAAGCAGACAGCTATTCTGACAGTTAAGGGTTCGAGTCAGTGGAATTGGTTTTTCCTTCACAATAACGATGTTGCAACAGCAGAGGACTCAGCCTCCAGGAAGCAAGCTGATCCCCACCTTCCTGCTTCGTCTCAATCTGTGGTCTGACCTAAACCATTCTGCAGGCGCCTCAGGACCTCAGGCACAGCCATTTTATCCCAGTGTCTGGCCTGAGAGGCAGATTCTGTCTGTTACAGCAACTCTGAGCTTCCCCAGGGACTGAATAACCAAGCAGTGATGAATAGCGCCCTTTCCAACAGAGGCAGAGGCAGGCTGAAATCTTGTATCTGAGTTGTTAGTTCTTTTTCCAATTCTTTTAACCTCTACAATTCCCCTTTGGGGTCATTTCTGCACAGGTAACCACAGGGAACACAGAAACGTGACACTTGGCTGTGGACAGAAAACAGAATTTCAGTCACTAACAATGAGTTTGTTTTTCTTCTGTCCTAGCGGACTACGAATGTTTACCTACTTTGAAGGAAGAAAAGGAGTCAAACCACAACCCAAGGTACTTCTGGTTTGTGTGTGGATCGTGGGAGGGGCCAGGAAACCACAGCTGAGTGCTTTGTGCAAGCTTCCTCTGCACCTGTCAAGTTTATATGGTCATTTATTTGGAGGCATATGTGTGTAGTGTGGAGAAAAAGAAAAATACAAAATAAATATCCCATGACTCTTTATCCTCAGAAATAAATTAGTATTGACATTTCCTTGCCCTTCCTAAGAGACACTGTTGAGCTGGCTTCTGTCTTGGTCATAAAACTTTCCAATTATAGCAATCTGTGGGTTGGTTTATATTGGATAGATATATGTCTGGTAAGGAAAACAGATGCAGGTGACACTCTCACAGGGGGTAATTTAAATAAGTATGAGTAAATGGAACATTAAAAAAAATTAAAAAAAAAAAAACTAAATTAAATTAACTCACCTAGACTGGACTACAGGAAAGAAAAATTATAAGCACATAGTTCATTCTACCACTAGGTGGCTCTGCTTGATAGAAAATTCTCCTGCACTGGGGCTCTAGTGTAATTTATCAGCACACCACAATCTTGTTTAAATTTTATACCTTTTGTGAGGATAGAAATGACAGTGTTTTTGATTCGAGAATTGTTTAGTTAAGGGCTCAAAAGAAATAGGATTAATGATTCAGCAAGTTGGGAACCCACTCTGCAGTGATCTTGGGGCCATGAGTCACGGATGACCAGAAAGCAGAGAACTTGAGCCCGTGATGGAAATAGCACACTTTTGTTGGAACAAATAGAACAAAGTTTTAGAGCAAGATAAACATCACCCGCCACCTCTTCCTCTATGATAAAAAACAGTTCTTGTACCAGTCATGTTAAATGCTCCTGGAATGCAGTCACATGTCATTGAGAAGCCCCTGAGGCCCACTCACTGCTAGTAAAGACTGATTATTTGACAGTCTAAAGGTGCAGTCAGATGTTTGTCCTCTGCACCCTTTGCTGTGTCTGCCATCCCACACCTCTGTCAGTATCACGCCTTCACGCTTACCCAGGCAAGCCTCAGCTCTGATACGGAGGTCTATGCCTCGGTGGAGATTTACATCAATATTACCTTTCTGAGTGTTTATATGTGAAGATTCATTGCTGCCTTAGAAGAGAATCTAGTCCATTTAAATGAGATTCCAAATACTAGCAAACAGGCAAAAAAAAAAAGAGTATAACCTTACAAAACTGTATGGTGGTGAAATCTTACTAAAAATTAGATTTTTGGAGGACCAAGTATGGTGGCCACACCTGTAACCCATCTACAAAGGAGGCATGGATCGAAGAATACTGTCCAAGGTGGTCTGGGCAAAAAGCAAGAGACCCTATTGGAAAAATAACTAAAGCAAAAAGGACTAGGAGCTCAAGTGGTAGAGTGCCTGCCTCACAGGTACAAGGTTCTGCATTTAAACCCCAGCACCACCAAAAAAAAATTCAGATTTTTGGAATATTGAGAAGTGTTGCTCATTTCTGTCTTAACCTGTCTGGAGAGCTGCTTTATGTGAACTTATCATTTTTCAGGGACATATCCAGATTTCTCTATGGACCTAGCTTCATCTCATTCCCTTTCTGTGAAGTCAGCACTGGAATTCTAGAACCAACACTAACAAGTCTTAGGCCTTTGGGCCACGGTCATTTTCTGATTAGTTCAAAATAATATCATATAATCAATTACACGATATTACAAAGCAAAGTTAGTTTTTATTCACTAAAAATGAGATGAATTTAAAAAAAACATAAAGCAGTTAGAACAAACCATTGCTTATAGTAAGCTCACAGAACTCACAGAACTGTACAGAAACTCACAGGCTTTTATGCTTATATAACTGTGTCCTACGGCCCAGATATGCTGGTATTGATAGATGAGTATTCTTTTCTCTGAGACTTTCTCTTTGGATCTACCGGTCCTGAGAATCAGGAATTTGTTGGATCTCCATTGAGACTTTCAGCTCTCCTCCATCACCAGCAGGGTCCATCAATGCTGGTGACATTGGAACAGTTCTCCCACCAGCCTGGAGCTCTGGATGGAGTGTTCGCACCTAATAGTTTCGATAATCTTTCTTTTCTGCCATACTTTCATTTATATTTTTTTCCTCCTAATTTCTTGCTTACAGTGACAACCAGTAAAACGTTTACCTTGAATAATCCAGGGCAGAAATAAGATTTGGTTCTTTCTAGAATAGTTTGTGAATCATGGAGATCCAGGTGGAAAGCACATTTGTCATTGGTCATCCAGAGGACTGGTTTAAAGAACTGACTTGGGCACTCATTTGTTCTCGTTGCATTTCTTCATCTTGAAAATCGAAAATCAGAACCCTTGTCCTTCCAGTTTCATAGGCTCACATGAAACTCTAAAACCACCGCGTAGATTTTAGAGAACCATGCAAATGAAATGAATTCTTTTTATGCCACAACAAAAGTTCTCTCTCCTCTTCCATTGACTTGACTTTAATAGTATTTCTTAGAACAGTTTTAGGTTCATGGCAAAACTGGGCAGAAAGTAGAAATAATTCCATATATCCTTTGCTTCCACACATGCACAGTCCCTCGTCTTATCAGTGCCCTCCACCAGAGTGGCATGCTTGTTGCAATCAGTAAACCTGCACAGACATGTCTTTATGTCCCAGGATCCCCCAGTGGCAGTTACCACTGTGCCTCATTCTTCCTCTAGCACTGAAGCAGTGCACAGGCGATTTTAATGCTTCAGAATATAGGCAATGGTCCCTGGTGATTGAATTTAGAGGACATCACACTTAACCACCCTCTGATGAAGACTGCTGGGATCCATTTTCTGGGCTTAGCCCTCCTTGACACTTGAGAGATGGACACAGAACCTCTGTCTTATACTAAGTCCACCCTGCTTCTGGGAAAAGGAGTGTTGTGATGATCACCCTACACCTAAAATGCTGCACTATGTTCACAGACTTCTCTTTTCACTCTTCTCTTTTAGGGCCATAATCTCCAGCCTTTCACATCCTTTTCCATGTATGTCATTGGCTAACTCTTGTTCATTTCTTCCCCTGTCCTCACTGAATGGAACTTTTGTTCATTTGTTTGTTTGAGTCAGGATCTTACTGTGTAGTCTAGGCTGGCCTTAAACTCTTGATCCTCTTGCCTCAGATTCCCAAATATTAGGATTACAGGCGTGTGCCACTGTGCCCAGCATTTGAAAATATTTATTGATATTTTTAGCATATGTTAATGGTACAAAATAATAGATTTCATTGTGACATTTTCATACATTCCTGTAAATAATATACTTTTTGATTGTATTCACTCCCCATTACTCTCTCTTATCTCCTCTACCCCTGAACAGACATTTTCGTTGAGCTGTAGCATCTGAAATTTAGCACAGGATTTCTTTTTCAGTGGTAGGGCTAGAACTCAGGGTCCACACCCAGCCCTAGCACAGGATTTTTAAAAGGATCAGATGTGCACATAATACTAAGGGAAATTTACACTAAGGCTTTCATGCTTAAAAAAAAAAATAGAGAAAGACATCAAAAGAATAGTGGGGGAGGGGAGAGCCCTCTATTCTTTTTTGCCACCTTAGGATTTTTTTCCCCCTATAATTTCCTGTTAGGCAGCTTGCATTGACAAAGGACGAGTGTCAGTGGCGTTCAGATAGGTGGGAGGAGGACAGTGGGAGAGTGCTGTCCTAGAGTTAAAGACAATCTTCTCACTGACATTGCCAGGCATTGACAGCTCCTGATGATACCAAAGACCAGTTCCATTTGCAGGTTTCATGATTGATTAAGTTCTCTGTGGAAAACACACTCCCTTATTGTCTAACCCCACCCGCACAACACCCTCCCAAATTCCACTAGATAGTGGTACAAACAAGAAAGAGTCCTTTTATCTTGGTCCTCGCAGGCTAGCCAGCCTCTTCCTTTTTCTTGAGGCACTTGTAGCTAGATGGTTCCTGAACACATAGTGTTTCCATTAGCCAAGGCCCAGCTCCCTCCCTTTCTGTCTCTTGACTGAACTGATGGTTTTATCTTGAGCAAAAAAGCTGGGAAAGATTAGAGGCTTGTAATTTTGAAAGCATAGTAATAACAACAATAATGAGACATTTGCATAATATTTTTTCTATATCTTAGATGCCTAGCTACTATTACTTCAGAAATTGACTAAATCAGAGAAGGTTTGTAGTGATACACTTGTTCTTAAATGATAATAATTCTATTTATTCTATTATTCATATTTCTGAGTTTGTTAGTTTAATAGAGAATTTTGTGGATTTCTTCCCTCTCCCTCCTGCTTTGTCTTTTTGTGGAACAGTAAAATGTTACGGTTTTTCAAAAGCTATTTATTGAGCATCTAATAGGCTCCTGATAGATAGATAGATAGACAGATAGATAATCCATCTGGCCAAACCTAAAACTCAAAGGCATTAAGTGACTTGTTCAAGTTCACATGGCAGATTTGTGATAAGATACCATCTAAGAAAGAGTATCTCTTAAAATTTCACTTCATTTTATTTTTGCAGTACTAGGACTTGAACTCAGGGCCTTCATCTTGAGCCACTCTCCCTGCCCTTTTTGTGAAGGGTTTTTTGAGATAGGGTCTCATGAACTATTTGCCTGGGCTGGTTTTGAACCACAATCCTCCTGATCTCTGCCTCCTGAGTAGCTAGGATTACAGGCGTGAGCCACTGGCGCCCAGCCTCATTTTACTTTCTTATTTAGTTAAAATAAAAGAGACATTACACACATTCAAGGAAAATTCTAATTAAAAAAAAAAAATAGAATGCCTAGCAGCAAGGAAGCCAGCCACCAGGAGGCCAATATTTGATAGTGTTTGGTGATTTGCATGTCTCCCATCCAGGGGGACAAGACTTAACCATTAATTGAAAGAAAAAAAGTTTTTCTCCTCTCAGTTCTGGTAAAATCTCTGTGGCAACTCCTGTTTTTTCTTTGTTTATGAATTTCTTTCTCCTTAGTCCCTCAAAAGTCATTTAAAAGTATACTTCAGATCAACAAATATTAAGTGCCAACCAGTT